AACAATCAAATGAGAGCCGAATGAAATGATGATGTTCATAGTGCCTAAACACAACAATCATCATTATCTACTTTCCAAGTGATAGGCAAAGCATTCAGTACATGTATTCATATGTACTTGAACAAAAAAGAGACCAGTGCAAAAACACAATATATTCTTATAAATTGCGATGAAGAATAATCTTTTAAATGTTGGCTCCATAAACTATAGTCCCATTGATTATTATGATTAAAATAATCAATCTTAAAAACTAACCAGAGTGTAATTTAAATGCAAATATTTATGAGCTCGCTCCAAATAATTAATTTTAATATTATTAGAGAAAAAAATTGAAAAAGAATTCTCGACTTGATTTAGATTATACATAAGTTGCCTAGTCTTGCAAATACTATTTCAACTGTAATTATTGTACGAAAATAATTTGAAATTTTTAATATATCACAATGCAAGTCCATTATCCAAATAAAATAATTTAGAATCACAAACAGCAAGATCTCGCTTAAGTGCCAAAGAGAGCAATCAATACATTCCTAATTTTATGGTGAATGATTTTAAGTTTCATACCAGCTCATTATGTAAAGTTAGGAAGACAGACAACTTTAGTTTTACTGTTATAAGAAACATACATAATTAAAATGAGACCAATAATTACAATATTCTCCAAGAGATAAAGCGATTATATTATATTAGTGCTCACAAGAAGGGTTATTATTTAGTTGTGATAGTGACTGGTTTGACCATTTTCTTGATCGCAGAACTAGGGTGCATGAGTTACATGGAATTACTGAAGTCAAGAAAACTCAAATATATGTTAAAATTAACCTATTCATTTTAACACAAAAAGAACATCAAGTATATTATACAAAGTACCCCAATAAAATAAGTGATAAATGGACTGATTAGTGGTAATTAAGAAAGAACTAAAAGGTAGAATTGATGATGAAAATCTAACTGATTTGGCTCATCTAAAAAAATATCTGAATGTAATTAAGACAATAGCAAGCTTACAAGTTACTAATGTTAATTAAAATATTTAATATTTTTCTAAGCATGCGGATGATGAAAAGAAATGGAGAAGTGATACTAATTAGAATAATAAAATTCATTGATTGGCATCTTAATTTGTAAAATTTGATATAATTTTGTTAATGTTTTAACTATTTATTTATGCCAAAATAAAATTGCTACTTGAACTAATCATTTTTTTTTTTTTGAAATAGATCTATCACTTGTTGTTGCAGACGGTATTAGGAGGTGGTGATGATCTTCCTCCCAAGTCAGTCACCTCTATATTCATGAGGAGAAAGAAGTTCACTTCAAGACCTCGTAGACTGGCCAACCTACCACTATCATCATTAGCACCCAGATCACACCAGCCCCAACTTTGACATACCCTTTCCTAGATCTTGTACATACCTCTCCATTTTATCCACATATATCATATAAGTCACCACCGATTATCAGCCCATCGACATAATCCAACTTAGGTTGGGGGAGCCCATCCACTACACTAAACCACCACCTCCACCATCCATTTACAACCGCCGACCAGAGCCCGAGGGTAGAGCTGATGCTCCTAATTCACTCATGTACATTGAGCTAGATGGGATAATGTATGTAAGATTTTTCTTTTTTTTTTAATCACATTGAACTAACTATATTATACAAGTTCAATCTCTCCGAGCAAGTTGTATGTAAAATAAGAAGAAAATTTTATGATTATTATTTCTCTTGCCAAACAATTTCACTTCACATTTATGATATGTGATTCAGAGAGTTTGGGATATTTTTAGTCGTTTTTTCACTTATGTTTCAAACAATCAAGTATATGCTTACTGAAACTAACCTTTTATTTTATTTTGCTAACAAGATTTTTTTTATGACTATATTAGCATCATAATAGCTGAACAAATTTCGAGTGATGAGACTCAACTCATCTGCATGGTATCTACGCTGATATTTAGAAATCTAGGAAAAGGCCCCTATGGATTGGAGAGTATATATGGGTGAATTTGTGTCAAGCCTAGGCCATTTCTAAGTTTACTCGTAAGAAGTAGGTAAAGCAAAATAGAGCTTCTAACTGTGGAGTAAAGGGCAGCTCCCTCTATACTAGTGGCTTAGTACCACACACTCGGTATAGCAGGAGAATGAAAATTATTAAATCATACATATGCCAATCACGAAAGACGGAAATCAGACAGCTAAATTAGGAGTTTTCTATAATTAGAAGTTTCCTTATTTTCAATATCTTTATTCTAATTTATTTCGCTTTTAGCTGAATATTTAGATTTTTTCTAAATTAAGAAATTCATGCAATATTTACTAACTACAAAAGTGTGCGCGCAAAAAAAAAATTTAATGGGTAGAGACCCCACACCTGCTAAGCTGCACGCTAGAACTCAACTCGCAATATGTAGATATCAAATCATAGCAGCCTATTTAAGAAACAAGTTCAAATTATTAACAATTCAAAACTATATATTTTTTTTACTATTTTGATTTTTTGTAGGATAAGTTCATGTGGTTGAAGCAGATATAGAGTTAGGCAACTGCAAGAGAAGGATCTTAGAGTGGTCAAGAGTTTGATCTGTAGAGGCAAGCAGATTTAGGAAAGAAGAATGGAAGAATTTATGGTTTTGATGCACAAGGTAAGGCATATGACAACATTTTTTTAGCAACATATTCAAAATGATTGATGAGCTAGTGAGTATGCAGGTGACGACATTTATCAGAGATATAGAAACTCAAAAGATTGCTCAAATCATCATACTGCAAACTGAGGTGTAAGAGACATCAAAAATAGAAAAAGAGGCATCCAAAAGTAGAAAAAGAGGAATAAGATGAAAAACAAAAAAGGATTAGAGAACTGTAATGATTTTATTTAAGCAACAGTCTTGTAACTCTTTGAAATTATTTGAACTATAAGGAATTATTGTAATCAGTTGCATTTGAATGTGGAATGCAATGTAATGATCAGTTTTCTTGTGATTCTATTAGCAATATTATTTTGTGTTGATACAGCTTTTTACCGGAGTAAAAAATGAAAAAAGAAAAATAACTAGCACCTTTTTTTAATAAGCTTTCAAAAGTTTTCAAATGGCCTAGGCAATGTTAAATATCGATACAATTTGTTAGAATAGAATATTTTCCGCCATATTTACTGGTAGAGAGACCGATCTACTTGCCAGCTAAGAATTTCAGGCGGCCTGGCCACTAAAAGTCAATCAATAAGGACAACAAGTTAGCTTCTATCTTGTGTTTGATTTCATGATGTTTTTTGCAGTGCTTTGTGACGGCTTTTTTACTGGAAAGTAACATCAGCCAGGTAGCCAGTAAGGTGTGATAATAATTTTTCTATGGCTTTTTACCTTATCACGATACATCTCTAACGCAAGTTTTACCTACGGATGGCAAGCCGCCAAAAGTCTAACAAAAAATAATTTTTTGATTCACTTTTTGAATTTTCCAGCAAATTATGCCATCTAAAAATCGTTGTTTTCCTATATCTTTAATTCAAATTTTGGAGTATATTCCTTTTATGGATAATATCTATAAAAGCTTTAAAAATCTATACCTTCATTTTGTGCACAAAAATGTAGACCAGATTTGAAGGTAGACAGACAATGGGACATTTGGGTTGCTAGAATTTCCACTATTTTGCTCAAAAAAAAAACCTCTTTAACCATGTTAAAAAAATGGAAACATAATCAAGAGTATTCCGACATTGCTAATTGCTTTGTTTGGAGAATCATTTTAGCTTTCCCTTGGTTCATGTTTTGTATGGGTGTTCCATTGATTCAATAATTATTTTATTGGAGCAGCTATTATGGTCTATCTAAACTTTCTTGGACAACGAAGATTGAACCTTCTTGGTTGTGCCTTGATTTTCTAGGTGGCACCTTAAGAACTTCTATACCTACTTTTTCATTTCTAGAAATTTTGATGCAATAGTTCCAATACATGCCCTCTAAATTGAGCCAGTCTTTTTGCGTATCTCCTGATATGACTCTTATACGAGTCCTGATGGGTGTCCCACTTTTTGGTCTTAGTTTCTCTTTTCAATTTTTTTTTTCTTTTTACAGCTCATGTGACTTTGTAACCCTCAAAAACAATGACAACAACAACAACCAGCCAAGTTGAGCTATACTAATAACATTACCATCTATATCGCCATCACTTTGAACACTAGACCTATATATTTAAAATGTTCACTTCTTTTAATGACTCGATCACCAATCATCACAACCCTGCCACTAGATCTACTACTACTAAATTACATTCCATATATTCAATTTTAATATTCAATTTTAGATCTACTCTACTCAAACGAAAGCCTTTAGATTCTAAGTTGACCACCATAAATCAAGTTTTTCCTTAATAATCTTTAGTCTTACCCACAAGAAGGAAGTCATTAGTGAAAAGCATACACTAAGGTACGTCCTCCTATAAATGTCCAGCAAGAACATCCATAACCGAAGCAACAAGATATCGGCTTAAAGCCTATCCTTGATGTAATCCAATTGATATAGGAAAATAAATTGGAACCCATTCGAATTAATATATTTTGGGCTACACCCGCAACCCAGAAAAATTATATATGCTAGCAAGTTGAAATAGTATAGCACAAATAATGCAATTACGAGTGTAAATGAACTAAGCTTGAGATAATTGTTTGGCTTGGTTTATTAAGTAAACAAAAACATAAATAAGCAACATCGTCCATTTTGATTTGGCCACCTTAAAACAAATCCTATATATTTTGAGTAAATTTATTAGGGAAGTGTAGCTATACTCTTACAAATACATGTATTAATAGTGAAAAAAAATTTCCTTGAAAGAATCTAAATAATTTCTAAACACTTAAATTAAGTAGTTTTGTTAAAGACGGAAAAAGAAAACACATTTGGCAACTTAGAATATCTATAGAACTCAAGAGTAATGTGATAATGTGCATAAACGTATCAATTAAAAAGGAATACTTGTATAAGACAAGTACATACCTGACGAAGGCAAACGCTTGTTCCACATAACGCTGCAAGTGACCAGGTGAAACACCATCCATTACAATGAAACATAGGCAAAGTCCAGAGGTACACAGCACCTTCATTCATACCCCAAACAAGTGCAGCACTAAGAGCCATAAGATAAGCTCCCCTATGATGCAACACCACTCCTTTTGGGCTGGATGTTGTCCCTGAAGTATAACCGATTGCTATGCTCTGCCATTCATCCTTGGGTGGCTTCCAAGCAAATTCAGGATCACCGGTTTCCAAAAATTTTTCATACTCCACAGCACCATTCTTTATAGCAGCATGTAGAGAGTTGGAGTCACAGTTTTCATCACCTATGACAACCAAAAGTGGTTTCTGAAAATACCCTTTTTTGTGTTTATCAGCGATGATTTTGAGAGCTTCTTCAGCCAATGAAAAGTATTCTTGATCAGCCATTACAACCTTGCTTGATGAATGTTCCAATAGGAAGGCAATTGTCTGAGCATTTAAACGAATATTTATACTGTTCAACACTGCTCCAGCCATGGGAACTCCAAAATGCGCTTCATATAAAGCTGGAACATTTGGGGCGATTACAGAAACCTGTAAACTTTACAAAGTTAAGTTTTCTTCGAATCAGAAAGAATTGAGAGGAAAAACCACAAAAAATTGACCGATACTAACTTTTGTAAGGTGCAAATAAAATAAGGCCAATGATAAGATGGGAGGAAACCAACAGAAAATAGAAAAGCACATTAAAAAGCAAAAGTGCCATAATGCAATTGCAAGCAGAAAATCCGCAGGACTTCCAATAATCTTTAGCCCATTTCCAACTACTGATTCGAACTATTTGCTGGAAGTTTAATCTTAATTTGAGAAATCTTCTTGAAATGAATGCTTATGTAATTTGTAATATTTAAATAAATAAATAGAGAAGACAAAAATTGGAGGTAGGAACCAGGTAAGAATTGCACATTGAAAGAAAATAGCAAGCATGAAAAATAGTAACTTCATATTATGAGGCCACCATCCACAACCATGAAAATATTTATTCGAGAATGATGGATATTGGATCCAAGCTCGCTAAATGATGTCACACCAAGGCCTTGCTACAAATTTGGGTTGAGCTTCAAAAGGGTAGAGACAGAAATTACAACCAAAGTTTCTCTTTGATTAATTGGGAATTACAGAGGACCTAGGTCATTCTTTAAACAAAAATGACGCGTCAAATCGGGACTATAAAAATTTTACAAAAAAGACTATAAATCCAAAGAGCATAGATTTTGTCCGAAAAATATAGAATGATGGCATGCCTGTTCTCAATCAATGATCTCTTATTTATACACGAGCTAAGGTCAATGGATCAAGATGGGTTATAGAAAACAACAAAAAAACTAGATGAATTACCTTAGGGTAACATTCTTATAACGAGGAAGCCAAACTAGCAGTTGCCACTAAGCTAGAATTGTGGATAAGTTTTAAATGGATGCCAACCCCAAAATTTTTCCAAACGACAAGTGAATTCCAATGAGAACACCTACTCAGTGGCGAACCTTATGAAAGAATAGAAGAGGACTTTAGGAAGAAATGCATTACTAAGCAGAGTCACAGTTAACCGGTTACAAAGCTCAATTTATGCTAATCAATCAACTTGATCAATCTGATCTAGTCAAATATGGGCAATGATGAAATCCACGAGTTTATTCTAAATCCAAAATATCACATCAAACTTGAGCTAAGCAATTTTTTTCTTTTTTTTCCCCTTTTTTTATCTTTTATTTTTCTTTTTTGCTTTCTTCAAATTTGGATGCGGCACGCTTTATGGCCTGAATAAAGTAAAAAAATACAAAAGTCGGTACGCCGGTGCTCTGGTGTAGAGTCAAATAAGTAAAGGTTCGCATATTATGGATGGATGCAGACAAAGAAGTTAGTCCATAAAACTAATATCATGATAAGATCTTAAAATAGTGATATTCTTGCAGGTAAATTAATGATATTAGTATATATTATGGTTCATAGGAAGATAAATATCTTATGCATTCAAGAAACTAAATGGGTTGGAGATAATGCCAAGGAGACTAATAACTTATGTTTAAACTTTGGTATTCAGGTAGGAATCACGCTAGAAATAATGCGGGTGCAATTAGAAATAAGAGTTTGAAAAATAATGTTCTAAAAATTAAAATAATTGGAGATAAAATTATGGCCCTAGAGATTATTATTGATGTTAAGATTTTTAATTTTATAAGTGTTTTTGCTCCACAATTTGGTTTAGATATAGGTTCAAAAGAAAATTTTTGAAATGATTTGAAAGAATCAATAAATAATACCTCTTGAAGAAATGATTTTTATTGGAGGAGATTTAAATGAACATATTAGTATAGTGGTAGAAGAAATAGTAGCTACGGTTTTTGATTGATTAATGAAGAAGGTAGAATCATTTTAGATTTTGATTTAGTTTGTTATTTTGTTATTGCTAATATTTTATTTAAGAAAAGATATGAACATATTATTACTTGTAAGAATGGATCTAATAAAATACACATTAATTATTTTCTTATGAGAAAAAGAGATCGTCAAGAGTGTAAAGATCGTAAGGTCATTCTAAGTGAAATTTTAAGTACTAAACATCGATTAGCAGTTCTCGATTTTAAGATGAAGAGTTGGAATATAAAAAATTCAATGAAACATTGTATTAGAATTAGATGAAAGTACCTAAAAACTTAAATAAAATTACCTTTATGAGTAAAATTCAATATTTCTAAATTTGAAATGTTTATAAAGAAATGTGAGATAAAGTAACAAGCACTATTAAGCAAATGACAAATGATGTACGTGTAGAATCAAAAGAAAAAGTTTTTAAAAATAAAAATATTGGTGGTAGAACAATAATGTGTAAGAAAAAATAGAACATAAGAAGTTTTATTATAAAATTGGTTTAAATATAAATGCTCAGATAACTGAGAAAAAAATAAGATAGCTCGTATAGAGTCTAAAAGAACAATTTATAATGCTAAGAATTCTATTTTTAATAATTTTTACAATAAATTAAATATTAAAGAGCTTGAAAAATATATGTATAAATTAGTCAAACAAAAAGAAAATAAAATTAACAATTTAATTCAAGTAAAATGTATTAAAAATGAAAATTAAAACGTATTTTTCTTAGATGAAGATATCCAATATAGGTGGGTGAGATATTTTGATAATTTTTTAATAAATTCCTGAAAAATATGATCAATCTTGGTGATCTTAATATCGTTAATAATAATCAAGTTTTTTTGTTTTTACAGTCGCATTAATAAAAAGAAAGTTGAGGAAAGCTTAAAGAAAACTAAATGTGAAAAATCAGTAGGACCTGATAAAATATCAATTAAAGTGGGAAAATTTTTAGGAGATTTGAGAGTTTTTTGGCTTACTAAACTCTTTAATGTTATTTTAAAAGCTAAAAAGATGTCTGCGGAGTGGAGAAAGAGTATTTTGGTCCTCATTTTTAAGAAAAAAAGTGATGCACAAGAGTGAGCAAATTATAGAGGACTAAATTAATATGTCATACTTTAAAATTATGGGAGAGGGTGTAAATCTTTTGAGTAAATTGATTGAATGTCTATTTCCTTTTCTTTCATTCCAATACATAATAGTCTGCACAATCTAGTAATAATACATAATAATGTGTACAATCTATTTTAATTAACTTAATAATACATATTCATAATTTATATATTCAGTTATAAGGAAAGCATATGTACAATTAAAATAAGTAATTTAATGCAGTCATTTAAAGAAGGAAACTAAGAGTGTGGAAAATATAGAGGAATTAAGTTGATGTGTCATACTTTAAAATTATGGGAGAGGGTAATTGAACATAGGTTAAGATGTATTATAAAGATTTAAAGATAAGATGTATTATAAAGATTTCTCATAATCGATTTGGATTTATGTGGGTAGATCTACAATGGAAGCTATACATTTATTGAGAAGTTTGATGGAGAAATTCAGACTACATCTGATTTTTATTGATTTAGAAAAAGCTTACGATTAGGGAGTTCTTGAGAAGAAAGGTGTTGATATGACTTATATTCAAGTCATTAAAGACATGTATACTAGAGTTGTTACTTGTGTTCTAACTAAAGGAGGATTGACCAAATATTTTCCTAATTTTGTTGGATTACATGAGGGATCGGCTTTAAGCCCATATCTTTTTGCTTTAGTTATGGATGGTCTTCCTGAACATTTACAGGAGGATGTACCTTGGTGCATGCTTTTTGCTAATGATATCCTTCTCGTGGATAACACGAGAGAAAAAGCCTAGAAAAAACTTGAATTATGGAGGTCTATATTGGATTCTAAAGGCCTTCATTTGAGTAGAACTAAAACTAAATATATGGAATGTAATTTTAGTAGTAGTGGCTCTAGTGATAGAAGTGTAACTTTGAGTGATCAAATTATTAAAAAGTGTGAACGATTTAGATATCTCGGGTCTGTTGTTCAAAACGATGGTGATATAGATGAGGATATTAATAGTAGAATTCAAGTTGGTTGGTTGAAGTGGAGGAATGTTTCAGGCTTTTTTTTGTGATAGAAAAGTACCGCTTAGACTGAAAGGAAAATTTTATAAGACGGTGGTGAGACCTGCAAGCTCTATGGCGTTGAATGTTGGCCTTTAAAAGAGAAGCATAATACTAAGTTAAGTGTTACCAAGATGAGAATGATTAGGTGGATGAGTGGCTTTACACTTAGAGAGAAAATGCAAAATGATTATATCTGTGATAGGGTTGGTGTAGCTCATGTGAAGGACAAAATTCGAGAAAGTCGTCTTAGATGGTTTGGTCACATTAAGCGTCGACCATCTGATGATCTGATTAGGAGAGCAGATGTTTTAGGTTCGACTTATGTTAAAAAAGGCAGAGGTAGACCTAGAAAGACTGGGGCTTGTTGTATAAAAATGATTTTAATTTATTAGAACTAAATGAAAATATGACACTAAATAGGACGCAATGGAGAAAAAGGATTCATGTAGCCGACCCCACATAGTGGGATTAAGGCTTTGTTGTTGTACTTAAAGAAGAAAACTCTTAATTCTGCACGATTTTAATTATTATTGATTGATATCCTCCCTCAAATTGATATTGACTGATCAAGAAACATCAATTTGTCAACAAACAACTGATGGCACCGCCTAGAAAGGACCTTCGTATATCAGCAATTTGAAGATCCGAGGAGATATGAAGAAGAGAAATAATACCATTATCATAGACTTCCCGAATAGAATGACAGTCCACTTCAATGTGTTTTGTGGGCTCATGAAATGCAGGATTAGCAGTACTCTGGATAGCACTAGTATTATCTGCATAAAAAGGAGTAGACTCAAGTTGAGGAAAACCATATTCAGCCAACAAACCCCAAAGCCAAATGATCTAGAACAAGCAGAGAACATTGCACGATATTCAAACTCGGTAGATGATTTAGACACACGATCTTGTTTCTTGCTCTTCCAAGAAATTAAAGAGTTGTCGAGAAACATGCACCAGCCAATAATAGATCGATGTGTATCAGAACAACTAGCTCAATCAGCATCATTATAGGTTGTTAAGCGAATAGGA